GTAAACATTTTTGGAGAGTAAAGACCTCGGCAAATGTATCATGTTTCTATATTTGCATGCACACGACTGATGTCTCTAGAGAGGGATTGGCTACGCCAGATTAAAATGCCCAAGACACGCCACATGATGAGCACACCAATAATACACTGGCAGAGACCTAGGCTCTAGCAGACAACAAATTTTAATGAAATTTAAATTATGTAACGGATAATCTTTACCCAGCAGCTGAAACTTGCGTTGTGCATGAAATTATGAATAGTTCCACTGGTGTGAGACAACATGTATATTTATTAATATTTACATTATTTACTTTATTCGGACTATTGTCCTCATCTTTGTCGCCATATTTATTATCAACGTTTCGGCCGTTGTACGCTCCGGCATTCTTCTGCTAGGCCACAAAAATCATCTGAGCCGAACAAGCATAGAAATGAATACAATATGGTAACAATAGGAGTGCCAGAGAAAAGCGATAACAACAAAAGTTTCAATATGAGCTCTGATAAAACCTGATGGATAACAGCAAAAAAGTTGCAATATGGTAAAAATTAGGTTTATAGTACCCAGAAATTCATGCCCAAGGAGACATGGCACAGTGGATAAAGGCGTGGGTTAGATCCAGTGACAAGACCCAAAGAGTGTGAGTTCAATACCCGGTTAAGGCAGTGGAGAACTTTCAGAGGGAAATTAACAGGTAACTGACATCCATTAAACATGGCACGTGGAACTAGATAGGTCTACACCAGTGAGCGAAATAAAGTGTTAAGTTCGAGATTCCAACCACGTGAAGAAGGCCGGAGCGTACAACGGCCGAAACGTTGTAATAAATATGGCGACAAAGATGAGGACAATAGTCCGAATAATGTAAATAATGTACATAATACCTCATCTCAGAAATATAGACAGTTATTAATATTTACCTAATAGCTCTGTTATATTACGTCGAGCACTATTTGAGAAAAGTATGAATCCTTCTTTTCTCCCAACAGTTATAGATAAATAGCAGGGCAGCCTGGGTTCTATAGCCTTGAATTTCAACTGGTCTAGGAGAAGGACAACTCTGAATTCAAAACCTGTGGATGGTTTTTGGGGAACTTGTGGCACGTTGTACACCAGGTCTCTGTATTTGGCTCTTCGAAATATGTGGTTGGTCCTGCAAAAACCCTTCGCCACTATAATCAAATCATATGAACAGGTGTCTGGCTGTCGGTTCCAAGGATCTGAATTGTTTGACCCTTATACGTCGGAAAAATACGGGAGAGTGTAGTACACACACACACACACACATATATATTATTTCATTGATGTCAAAACCCGCTACACAGAGTAGCAACTTGTATAGGAGAAAGACAACTTTGAATTCAAAACTTGAGGAGGGTCGTTCCCTCTCTCTACTCACAGCTAAGGATAAATAGCTGGAGAAACTATAGCTTTGGTCGGCATCCAGTCTAGGAGAAGGATAACACTGAATTGAAACCAGCCTGGAAATGGTTTAACTCTGGGAGTCTTATCGCGGATTAATATTATTATATTATATTTCGGCTCTGTCAACTTTGGCACGGAGCCCTCACTTTATTTTATATTATACGCTTTTAGCTTATTTAATCTTTATCTTTTATTCTTACTACACACACTTACACACACACACACACGTATATATCTATGTCAATTATATCAGATTAATATTGCCCGTCGAAAGTGTAAATTTTAAATTCATTTTTCGTTTCACCTTTTGAAAGTAAAGTCTTAAGATCCAGAGAAAAATAAAATTCTCTGGTGAAATAAATTATTACAATGGAGCCTTAAAGTGGTCTGTTTTTATTTAAATTAAATTATTCGCTCTGAATTAACATTGTGCTTTACGGATTACCAAGATTTTCGTTACTTAACTATATATATATATATATATATATATATATATATATATATATGTAGACAGCATATCTTCATTAAGGGATGTTTTGTTGAATAATCTGGACATATTATTTCTATTTTTATTTAATTCTCTCCAATTATCAGATCAACTAATTAATGTTGTTATTAAAATCATTAAGGAAAGCGCCGTAGTTTTTTTTTCATATCTTTTATTTTCCTAATTACTTTCAACCAGATCCAAGATCATCTTCAGGAGTGAATTGCTAAGATTAAATTTAATGCAATGTATAGTTGTGATTTTTTTGTAAATGCGCATGAAATTCGCTGTGTTATTATTAAAAACATGTATGTACGCACTCTGTGATAATTATTTTAAAAATTAACTGTTAAAGCTATTATGTTTTAGCTAACTGAGGTAACTTTAATTTATAATTGTAATATTTGTCAATTAATATTTTTGTAAATAGTGAATGTGGACAAGAATGTTCCGTGAAATGCTGTGCAATAGGACGTGAATCTGACATATGTAATGTAAGTCTTCTTGATAATGTCGTTGTTGCGAAGCCATTATATATATATACTTTTTTTGTCAAACGACATTTGAATTAATATACAATATCGGTTATTTTCAAATTATTAGATAACGGAGAAGAGTTATTACGGATAACAATTTGACTGTATTAAATTTAGTATAGTATATAATTAGTTTTATTTTTTACTGGGATCAGTGGCGGATATGTTAGTACTTACGTGTTTTTTATGCTTTTTTCATCTTATTTGTAGTTAGAATGTATTTGATTGCGATACAGTAGGTTGATATTTTTAGGGTCATTTGAGGAAGTATTATGTTCTTGATTTATGTTGGTATTATTAGCACAGGATTTCATTTTCTACGAAGTATTTATATACAAGAGCAAATATGTCACTGTCTTTTTTAATTTATTAAGTTAAAGAACTCTCATATTCTTCAGGCAAGGTGAAAAGTCTGGTAAGCTATATACACAACTTTCATTAAAAACCACTGACACACACACACACACATATATATATATATATATATATATATATATATATATAATCTTATAAATATAAGTAAGCATACTGGTACTAAAAAACCTTAGATGTATTGGCTTGTGAATGAATAAACCAATATCCTTGGAAAAATAAGGAATAAAAAAAGAAAGAACTAAGAACATGTAATTCAGGCGAAAATAATCGACCAGAATCCAAGCTCAGAGTCCAAAGAAAAAAAAATTTCCGACACGAGTAAAATAAAAATAACTAAGCAAAGTGCACAATACGCAAAGTAGAGCAAATCTTAATATGAAACTAAAGAACCAGGCAAACCTACCTAGGTTTCATCTACGCGGATCGTTAGGGTACGATATATATATATATATATATATATATATATATATATATATATATATATATATATATATACACACACACACACACACACATACACATATATATCTCTATATATATATTTGCTTTTGCGTACTCTTCCCTTCCGTGTCTGTTCTAATTTTATCTCTCGTTGGAATAATTCAGTTCGTTTTCAGGAATTTTTTGCTCATTGCAATTGTCATAGCGTCTTCTGGAACGCTGTCTACGACTTTAATTTGTTTTTCTTTCTGGTTCCATTCTTTTTACAGAGGTTCTGCCAGTTGCCACCCTGGCGTTTACAACTTTTGAGAATTCTCCTAATTTTTTTTGTCTTTCTGTCGTTCCATAGATTTAAGTTCCATTTCTACAATCAAATAAAAGTCCAGATTCATTGTCTTTTGTTACACACGTGTTCATCCCTCCTATCAAACTTTTTCTCTTTAATTTCATTTTCACTATTTTTCTTACCCAGCTACGATTCGCAGTTTTCTTGTATTTCACAAACGTTTAAAACATGTCAAACCGTTTTTAATTGTGCAAGATTAAATAAGGCCATTATATGTATAATGCAAATGCGTAACTAATGATCTTTCGAAAACAACTCTTTATGAAGAAAGGGTGAGACGTATTGCCGATGGTCAAGATTTAAGATAAGCACCACTAACACAATAGGATCATCATAAACACACACTAATACCACAAGACAAGAACATGTCATATTAACCTGACCAAAGAAAAGAAAGAATACGGAATAAAAAGAAAAAGGAGAATATGCACTTCCACAAGTGATTTCCAAAACGATTTGATGAAGCTTAAATAAAAGCAAAATATGTAAAACTTATAAAAGTTTCTTATTTGTTTCTGTTGTGGGGTCCTCCCTCTAAAGAGTCTATGTTGGACTCTTCCGCCTACTATAAGATTAGTAGGAGAGAAGGCCTTGGGAGAACAGTCAACCAGACTATTCATTTCTGTCGAACTCTCTGCCTTGGCAGAGAGGAACCCAAACGAAGCTTTGCCGAAGGGCAAAGTCTCGTCCGGGGAGGTAGACAGGCCCTGAACCTGTTTATACGGTTTCTAGGGGAATATTTTTGGCCGAGCCTACGGGCTCGGAGAACCCACAGTAAACTCGGCCTTGTGCCACATACATCCCTCGTCGTGGTAGTGGGCTGTTATATATTAACAGTCGACTATATTGTTCAACTGCTGAAATCTCTGCCTTTGGGTAGAGAGGAACCCGGACGAGACTTTGCCCTTCGGCACAACCTCGTCCGGGGAGAGAGACAGACCCGAACATGTGCCACTAGTTTCTAGTAAATATTGACGAGCTGAGGTAAAATCTTTTTAGCTGGCTTGTCGAACATTCTGCCTCTGAGCAGAGAGGATCCCAGACGAAGGTATGCCGAAGGTCAGAGTCTTATTCAGGGAGGTAGACCAACCGGATCCCGATTATGCGGTTTCTACGGGGATTTTTTGGTCGAGCCTACGGGCTCGGATGACCCACATTATATGCGGCCTTGTGACACATCTACAAACGTGGGGTGGAGGCTGCTAAATATTAACAGTTGAATAGATTGAAAACTGGGTCACCAACACACACTCACTAGTCGTGTAATACTCTTCTGTTGTACTTACTGTTTAATATATGATATATCTGCAACACTAGTTTTGGTATTTCTTGAACCATTTACTTGGTCACAACAGTTCTCTTATTCTATGTGGCTTACAGTCGCATTAAGTTGAAACATCGGTTCCCGTACGATCATTGAAGTTAAGCTACCTCGAACCTGGTCAGTACCATGATGAGTGACAGCTTGGGAATACCAGGTGCTGTAAGTTTCGATGTGTGGGTGTTTTAATGGATAATGGCTCGGGATTCTTAATCGGAGAGCCGACTTCCAATTCTGGTTGGGTTCGTTATATTCTCTTACGTTCAAATAGCTTTCACAAAGGCATGAATTCGATTCTTCTTCCCCATATATGGGTTAATTAGTAATACTTGTGTCACTAAATCATTACTATCTAAAAAAATTACTATCTAAAATAGTTTAAGGCTTTAAATAAATTGCCTAGGTTGATAGCTGGAGAAAATGAATGAGTCAGTCAATCCTTATACTATCATATATATATATATATATATATATATATATATATATATATATATATAATGGAAAAAAGTCCGACAATTATTTTAAGACATTTTCTGTTTATACATTCTTTTTATAGATACAAATATTTAAGTAAATGCTCTGTTTATAATAAACAGTATTAAACAACATTTACCGGCCTGAATGTCCGAGAAATATTCACAGAAATTCAGGCCGGTAAATGTTGTTTAATACCGTTTATTATAAACAAAGCATTTACTTAAATATTTGTATCTATAAAAAGAATGTATAAACATAAAAATGTCTTAATATATATATATATATATATAGTCGACTCTCCCGTCGAGATTCGACGTATGAGGGTCAACCAGATCAGTTTCCAGGAAACTGGCACCGGCACATGAGATTTGATTATAGTGGTGAAGGTTTCGTGCAGGACCATCCACACTTTTTGAAGGGCCGATTACAGAGACCTGGTGCACTACGTGCCACAAGGTCCCCAAAAGACCCTCCGCAGGTTTTGAATTCAGAGTTGTTGTTCTCCTAGACCAGTTGCCATCCAAGGCTATAGAACCCAGTCTGTCCTGCTATTTTTATATATATATATATATATATATATATATATATATATATATATATATATATATATATATACACTACAGTCAAAAAGTTTGGTGCCACCCTTCCTTTTTCTTAAAAATACCTTTAATTGAGATAGTCTTTGTATTTTTAAGTTAAATATAAAATTTCAGTAACTACAGTGTAATTCCTTTTATATTTCCAGGTTCCTCTTACTACCGAAATATTAAAATTTGAATGCGTCTGTCCACAACATATTTTGTTAAATTATGAATATTTTATGAGGAAAATTATATTTTGTTTTCATCCTTAACCCCTCAGTAGACATTTTGAGATTATCAAAATGGATGGAAATTTGATTCACTTCAAGGGAATCAAGACAACAACAACAACAATATTCGATTTAGCAAAGACAGGTTTTACCACGTGATTTATGCATTATTAGTAAAAAATCAAACAACGACCCAAGACACTCTTCTAAATTCTGTCAAAATTACCTCGAGTCAAAACAAAAGGAACAGCATTTTGAGAATTAGGACTTAGACATCTCAATCTCCTCTCTCCTATTTTATTAGTATGGGATGAATTGGATAGGAGACCCCACCAGCTTAGATACACTCTTAACGTAATCTAACATACATAATTCATCACCTCACCAAAGGAATATCAACTGCAATAAACCCCGATGCCGATTCTGTAAACGTATCATCACTGATAGCAATTTCGCCCCCCTAGCGCTCACACAATATTCAAACCACCAGCTTGTGACAGTTCGAATCTCATATATTTTCTATTCTATTAAAAATGCAAAAAAGGAAATTTAGATGAAGAAACAGGCACGGAATTCCGTCTTCGGTTCGATAAACTTCAAGCAAACTTTCCAACGGTTTGATGGCATCGGTGCCTGCTTCTAACGTTTTCATTCATTAGCAGACAAGAAAGACACAGATCAGAGTTAAAATATATTTTCAAAATAAGACCATATTAAAGGATGTGTTAAACAGGGATTTGGGTTTACTAAGATAATATAGTTTCCTCAGGAAGCCTTGTAACCAACAACAACAAAATTCTTTGGAAGAGTGAGTTCCACTTCTTGGTTTATTTTTCGTCTCGTTGAAAAAGTACAGTGGTGTATTCGAATATTCCGACTTTAAAATAATTCTCTTCGTTCAAAAGACTAATATATACAAATATCATCAATCTTATTGCCAATATTGTTACCATTTTGTTGTCTTTTTATTCCTCAAATTTCATTAACTGGCCTATTAAATCTATCTATCTATCTATCTATCTATGTCAGTCTGTTCATATCTATTTATCTATCTTTGTCAGTCTGTTCATATCTATCTATCTATCTATCTATCTATCTATCTATCTATCTATCACTATACGATTTCTCACACATCCTTAGGAGATAAGGAGATAAATTCCTTTTCTTTTTAAGTCAATTGCATTACCAGGGTTTCCTAAGAAGTTCGTCTCCGTTCCAGATTTGAGTCAACTTAATTGCCAGGGTTCTCGGGATTCCTGTCTCTAGCCCGCCTTTGAACTGGCAACAATAAAGTTTTGTTAATGATTTTAGATAATCATAAAACTAGATTTCTTTAACAAAAAACTGATCACTGATCTAGCATTTGGCTGGTCTACTTTTCCGGAACACAAGTGGACGGGTAAGAGGTGAGATGTAAGTATAGAGAGACAAGAAGTCAGCAGTGAGTAGATGACAAGCGGCCAGTAAGTAAATGCCCGGCGGTCAGTCATGAAGGCACCAGGGGCCAGTGAGAAATCAAAAGTCGCCTACACGGTCAGTGAATGTAAGGGTTCTCTTCCTGTGGCCGGAAGTTAGGGAGATAGAAGTTCACTATCGAAGCTGAAGGTCAGAACGATGTAACGCGAGTCTTCTTGTTAGATATGTTGTTGTATATCCAATAAAATTATTTATGAATTTGGTTTGGTCAGGATCACATTTCCTTAATGGACATGTGAATTCATAAATAATATTGGTTCTCTGTAAATTGGAACTTGACGATGAATTTAGCAGTTTTATTTGATTTTTTTTATAGATAATTAATTTAATTATCTCCTTTTTGTCCAATGCTTATAGTTACCGTGCATTTGATTTTTATAGAAAATGTTAATGTCATTGTTTTTATCTGTATGTTCTGTGTTTCTACTGGTTTCCGAGATGATGTATTATGTACACTATTTACATTATTCGGATTATTGGCCTCATCTTTGTTGCCATATTTATTACAAAGTTTCGGCCTTTGAGTATCTGTCTATATTTCTGAGAGGAGGTATTATGTACACTATTTACATTATTCGGATTATTGGCCTCATCTTTGTTGCCATATTTATTACAACGTTTCGGCCTTTCAGTATCTGTCTATATTTCTGAGAGGAGGTATTATGTACACTATTTACATTATTCGGATTATTGGCCTCATCTTTGTTGCCATATTTATTACAACGTTTCGGCCTTTCAGTATCTGTCTATATTTCCGAGATGATGTATTATGTACACTATTTACATTATTCGGATTATTGACCTCATCTTTGTTGCCATATTTATTACAACGTTTCGGCCTTTCAGTATCTGTCTATATTTCTAAGATGAGGTATTATGTACACTATTTACATTATTCGGATTATTGGCCTCATCTTTGTTGCCATATTTATTACAACGTTTCGGCCTTTCAGTACCTGTCTATATTTCTGAGATGAGGTATTATGTACACTATTTACATTATTCGGATTATTGGCCTCATCGTTGTTGCCATATTTATTACAACGTTTCGGCCTTTCAGTATCTGTCTACATTTCTGAGATGAGGTATTATGTACACTATTTACATTATTCGGATTATTGGCCTCATCTTTGTTGCCATATTTATTACAACGTTTCGGCCTTTCAGTATCTGTCTATATTTCTGAGATGAGGTATTATGTATACTATTTACATTATTCGGATTATTGGCCTCATCGTTGTTGCCATATTTATTACAACGTTTCGGCCTTTCAGTATCTGTCTATATTTCTGAGATGAGGTATTATGTACACTATTTACATTATTCGGATTATTGGCCTCATCTTTGTTGCCATATTAATTACAACGTTTCGGTCTTTCAGTATATGTCTATATTTCTGAGATGAGGTATTATGTACACTATTTACATTATTCGGATTATTGGCCTCATCTTTGTTGCCATATTTATTACAACGTTTCGGCCTTTCAGTATCTGTCTATATTTCTGAGATGAGGTATTATGTACACTATTTACATTATTCGGATTATTGGCCTCATCTTTGTTGCCATATTTATTACAACGTTTCGGCCTTTCAGTATCTGTCTATATTTCTGAGAGGAGGTATTATGTACACTATTTACATTATTCGGATTATTGGCCTCATCTTTGTTGCCATATTTATTACAACGTTTCGGCCTTTCAGTATCTGTCTATATTTCTGAGATGAGGTATTATGTACACTATTTACATTATTCGGATTATTGGCCTCATCTTTGTTGCCATATTAATTACAACGTTTCGGTCTTTCAGTATATGTCTATATTTCTGAGATGAGGTATTATGTACACTATTTACATTATTCGGATTATTGGCCTCATCTTTGTTGCCATATTTATTACAACGTTTCGGCCTTTCAGTATCTGTCTATATTTCTGAGATGAGGTATTATGTACACTATTTACATTATTCGGATTATTGGCCTCATCTTTGTTGCCATATTAATTACAACGTTTCGGTCTTTCAGTATATGTCTATATTTCTGAGATGAGGTATTATGTACACTATTTACATTATTCGATTATTGGCCTCATCTTTGTTGCCATATTTATTACAACGTTTCGGCCTTTCAGTATCTGTCTATATTTCTGAGATGAGGTATTATGTACACTATTTACATTATTCGGATTATTGGCCTCATCTTTGTTGCCATATTTATTACAACGTTTCGGCCTTTCAGTATCTGTCTATATTTCTGAGATGAGGTATTATGTACACTATTTACATTATTCGATTATTGGCCTCATCTTTGTTGCCATATTTATTACAACGTTTCGGCCTTTCAGCATCTGTCTATATTTCTGAGATGAGGTATTATGTACACTATTTACATTATTCGGATTATT